GCCCGCGAGCAGGGGCAGCGCGTTGAAGCTGGCGCTCAGCTGCTCCAGCTTGGCCTCCAGGCTGCCCAGCTGCTTCTCCAGGTCCTCGCTGCGGTCGTTGAGCTCCGTGATGAGGTCGTACATGACATTCTGCATCTGCAAAACGAAACGGGGCGGCGGGAGGGTGAGCGCCGGGCGCTTGCGACGACCCCTCCCCACCGGGTGCCTTTCTGGGGCCAGAGCAGGCAAGCGGCAGCGACGGCTCCGCTTGCGACACGGGGCCGGATCTGGGCCGTCTCCCGTCGCGCTCGTGGGATGGGGGCGAGGAGGGGCTTGACCCCCGCGCCACAGCCCGGGGGCGTCCGCACGCCCCGACGTTGATGGAAACCGGCTCTGTGCAGGATATGCCGAGGGAAGGGGCTGCCAGGAATGTGCTGCTCCGGCGTGAGGATCCTCGGCTGGAGGCTCCCGCACGGCCAGCGCGGAACCTCGCAGGCCCCTCGCTCCCAGCTCGCTCCATGCTTCCCCCTCCTCCTCCGCAATCCCCAGCACCTCTTCCCAGTGGATATCCGGGAGGGCTGGTGCATTTTGCGGTCAGCCAGGTCCGCTCGGCCCTTGCAAGCCAAGAGAGCCATTTGCGAGCACTCGCCTTGGAGAGGTCGACCAGCGTGTTGGCCTGGTCGCTGAGCTTCCTCTGCTCCATCTTCACGCTCCGCAGCCTGTGGAGAAGCATGAGGACGGCCATGGGGACATAGCCCTGGCCCCTAGCAGCGCCGGGAGCAGGCATCCCGGGATGGCTGATTCCAGGGAAGGGAAAACAAGCTTCCTGGGGCTCCCTCCCACCACGGCATCACTCACTGGTGGATGGCTTGCAGGAACTTGCGCTGGTGCTTGCGCACCTTGGCGTGGTCGATCTTCTTGAGCAGCTTGGTGTGCTTGTAGATGAGCCACGTCTCCCGGAGCACATTGGCTGCCGCGTTCTTGATCTGCAGTGGAAGAGCAGCGCCTGCGGGTCGCTTTCCCGCTCCAGGACAGCCCCCAGGACGCAGGGATTTGGGGGAACGGTCGCTTCACCTCGGTGCCAGCCGGGAGTTTCCAGCCAGCCTGGCACGGGAGCGAGCGGGAGTGTGTGGGAATGGGGCTCAGGCTGCAGCTTTGCCATTCATGGGCCCCCAGATCCGCATCCCCAGGGAGGAGGAAACGGAGAGGGAAGAGGAGGAGGAAATGGAGAGGGAAGAGAAAGAAAAGGAAGATGACGATGGGGAAGAAGGCCTCGCAGCCTTACCCGCTTGGTGAGCTGCGTGTCCATCATGAAGTTGTGCACGTGCTTCTCGGCCTTGGTGAGCTCCAGCCCGATGGAGAGGAAGGTGATGGAGATGAGCCACATGGCGCCCAGGAAGTTGCTGGTCACGTCCTGCTGGTCATGGTACCTGTGAAGGAGCGGAGTGGGGACGCAGGAGTCAGCGGGACTCGCTGTTCCCGTGGGATCCGTGCCGACCTTCCCCGGTGCTTTTGGAAGGGGCCGGCGGCAAAATCCGCCGGCGCTTCCTGCCCTGACGGGGTCGGCGGCTCCTGGCCGGCCGGACAGCCCAGCTGGGGCCGGAGGCGCCTTCGCCCCCTCACGGCATCTGTGGACGGGAACCAGATGGAGCTTTCTTGGCAATTCCCTGCAAATTGATCCGGCCTAGCTTCCCAACTCCAGCTCTGCGAAGCAGCCGGGATTTATCCTGAATTCCCCCATTCCCAGCAAATACCGGGAGCTGCAGAATGCATGCTCCTTGGGAGAATGTGGTCAGAAATGCTGCGTTTGGGGCAGAAACGGGTGGTTTGGGGTGAAAATGGCGGGGTTGGACTCCCAAAAGACGGGAGACCCAAAAGACCCCAGCATCCCACAGGTGCTCCCGGCTCCCCGCACGTGTCCATCCCCATTTCATGTGCACGTCCCCAGGGGCTGCCGGAGCCCTCGAGCTGCCTGGGGGAGCCGGGAGGGCCGGAGTGGCTGGAGACCCAGGTTTCCTTTGCCAAGAGCTGCCGGGAGCAGCAGGAGCTTGTGAAGAGGAGCCGGAGCAGCCAGAGGAAGAGGAGTCGGCCCCACACGCCAAGGGCTGATGCAACCACTTGGACCCCGGCGCCGATTTCCGCCCCGAGCGTCTCGTCGGGGCCCGGCGGTG